ATTAAAAACTTCTATTTAGTATTATTAAAGCCATATAATAAAGCAGAGATCTAATAACTATTATAAATATATAAAGCCTATTATTTAAAATAATTATATTTGCCTTTAATTAAGAATAAAACTTAAGATACTAGTTTAGAATATAAATTAAGCTCCTTATAAACCTCTTTTAGTATTAGGATTTTAATATTATTAGACTATATAAGTATATATATCTATTATTTCTTAATATAATCTATATATTATATAAGAATTATTTTATAAAATTCTATATTAAAAATAAGACTATAAGAGCTAATATTCTTATATTTATAGAACTATAGCTTAAAAGAATATATCTTACTATAATTATTTATAATAAATACTTTAAGATTATAGGCTTAATAAATCTTAAATTTATTTCTATAAAAAATTATAAATTCTTAATTATATTTAGCTAAGGTAATAAAGCCTCGGCTTTAAATCTAATTATTATTAAGGAAGTTATAATCTAATCCGGTATTATTAAGTCTATTATATATCTTTAAAGTACTTATTTCTAGCTATATTAATCTTACTTAAATAGTTATATAAAATAATATATCTTTTTTATTATAGCTAAAATTATTAATATTTAAGATTTGGCTTTTCCTTTTTCTTATTTTCTAAAAAGATCTTTTCTAAAATATTTCTCTATAATAATAGTATAAACCTGCTTTTATAAATACCTTAATTCTTTTAGTGTTTTAATCTTATTAGAGTTCTATTAGATTTATTTATTATATTTGAAATATTTTATATTTCCTAAAAAGCATTCTTTCTAACTATAAGTCTAATAAACTATATTTAAAATAAAACTAGTATTCTAGTAAAGCCTAAAAAGAACCGAAATACTACTTGAGAATTTCTTATATAATTTTCGGAATTTCTTTTTTCTTTTTTAATAGTCTTATAAATTAGAATTCTTAGAAATAGAATTACTTTTATTAGACTTTTTTATTTTTATTTTCCTTAATTTAGAATAAGTAATATATTCTGCTTTCTAAGCTTTTTTAAGCTATTTAGAAATAGATATTATTTTATTTCCTAAAAGAATAAATATAAGTATTTAATAAATCTTATAGTTAGATAAAATAATATTAAAAGTTCGGTCCCGATTTCTTTTAGAATATAAGTTCTAGTTAATTTCGAAACTAATTATTCGAATATATAACTCGATAATTATTTTACTATTTTTCTAATAAAGATCTCAAAGTTTCTTAAAAGTATTTTACTAATAAGTTTAAGGTACTTGAAATATATTAGCCAAATAGGCCTTAAATTACTTTTAATAAATCTTATATAATAATAGGCTTTGCTTTATTATAGTCTTTTAAATATTACAAGATTTATTTCTAAAAATACTTATAATAGAATTAACTCTAGAAAAGTATTTATTATAAGTTTAAAATTAGGTTCTAAAGATTACTTCCTAAGAAAATATAAATATTCTTTATTTCTTAAAGAACTTTTTATAATATAAGTTAGGTATTCGAATCTTAAAAAGCTTTTTTTAGTTTAAATATATTTTTAAAATATTATATAATAGCTTTTAACAAATAGTATTAAGATTATTTTTAAAGCTTATTATATTAGAAAAGAAAATAAATTCTAATTCTATTTCAGGAAATTCTCTAATAGGAATTATTAAGAAAAATAGAATAAACTTATAAATAAAGTTTCTATAAAATATAATAAATTATAAGATATTTCGGAAAGTATTCTTATATTACTTTAATTATAAGATATATTAATTAATTATATTTACTAATTCTTGCTTTTATTAGAAGACTTTAATTTTAGTATATAAACTCTATTCTATAGTTTAAATAATAGTAATTTAAGTATTAATCTCGGTATTTTAATTATTACCGGAATTATTTTTATTATTATTACTTATTTATAGAAGATTCTAAAGAGCCCTATTAAAAGTATTAGATAAGCCTTTACTATTATTTATATTAAAACTAATTTAGTTAATTTCTTCTATAAGAATAATTTTAGTAAAGAGTTATATATTTTATAGATTTCGAGATATAATTACTTATTAAATTACTTTTTTAAAAGTAAAGAGATTAGTTTATAAGATATTTATTAGTAAATAATAAGATAATAGAATAAATTAATAAGTTATAAAACTATAATATTAAATTTAGTATAGAACTAATTTCTATTCTTTTTATAAGATTCAAAGAAGCCTTTTCTAAATAGAAGGCCCCGATAATATATATATAATTAGTAATTTATAAGCCTAATACTTATAATATAAATAGTAATTAGCTATAATAATAAAAGGCTATTAATTTCCCTAATTAATACCTGTAATATTCGAGGTTTATTATATATCTTTTAGTTATATATAATTATATATATATTATAGGTTTATTATGTATTCTTTAGTTATATATAATTATATATATATTATAGGTTTACTATAATAAGCTATTTTAATATCTAGCTATAAAGACTAAGATTAATTAATAATTAAAAGCAAATACTAAATAATAAAAAGAATTATATTGTATTTAATATAAGAATATAATTAAGCGGGTTTAAATTACTTTTAAATAAGTTTAGAAATATAAAACAAAACCATTTAAAAATAATAAATTATATTTTAGATATATTAAAAAGAAATTAGAATTACTAATAAAAGAGAATTCTAACTATTTTATTATTTCGGATTCTAAATAGAGATTTTCTATTAGTTTTTAATATTTAGGAAATAAGTATAAATAAATAAAAAATCGAATATAATATAATAAGCCGTATTTTAATAGTTTTAGGGTTTTAATTATATAATAAAGGCTAGAATCTTTTATATATAACTTATAGAAATTATATTAAAAGTTGGCTTTTCTATAATTCTAGATAATAATTCTTTCTTTATATTTAATTAATTAAGCTTTTATATACTATATACTATTTATGCCTTTATTTCTATTATTTTACTATTAAGTTATATTTTATATTCTAGTATACTTTATATGAGTTTTTATCTTATTATAGTTTTCTTCTTATACTAGCCTTTTTATATTTACTAATTTAAACTAGTAATAAATCTTTTAAACTTAATTATTTATATAATTATTAACTTACTAAACTTATTCTTTTTATTAATCTTATAAGTAATGCCTTTATTTTTAATATAGGCTAATCTTTTTTTTAAAAACTAATAAATAATAATAATTATAAATTAGTAACTAGCTAAGTTTATAAGTAATTCTTCTTATATAAAAGGGTTTAAGCCAACTAGAATTAAGTATTATAATGATTTCTAAAACCAAGCTTTTACTTTCTTTAGTTAAAATATTTTAATTATCTTTAATTAAGTTATAATTTAATACTATTTTTATTTAATATAAAAAAGTTAATATAATAATTATTTCTTATTATTTTTATACTTATATAAGCCTTAATAATACTATTTTCCTTAAATATTATCGAATTATAAATTAATAAACTAATTATTATAATAATTACAAGTAATTAAATTATAATATTATTTATATATAAGAAAGAAATACTAAAAATAATAATAATAATAAAGATATTAGTACTAAAAAATATAAGAAATATAAAGAATATAAAGAATACAAAAGATCTAATAATAATAATTATTAAAAAAATACTTTATTTAATATAATACTAGAAGAAAGACTTCTTATAAGACTAGTAAGACAATTATATTACGGGCAATTACTTAATTAGGGATATATTTATAGCCTTACTTATATTTTATAAAAGTTATATAAAAGTTTATAATTATTTAGATAATACTTTTAATACAACCAGTTTTCTTAAAACCTTAAAAATATCAAGAATCTCAAATATACTAGAATTAACTTATTTAGTATTAATACTAGTATTAATCATATTAATACCTTATAATTCTGGTATTAATCCGGATTAATACCCCAAATTAGGTATTATTGCCGAGCCTGTACAATAGCTCAAACCAAACCCGTGAATCGACATATGTGCCACAAAAGTGCGTAAATACTGCTTACCTTAAAACTGTGTCGCTAACACCTTTGGGACTAGTTGCGGGGCACGTGGGGCAGCCCCTTTTTTAACGAGTAGTAGCTTTAAGAGTAAAGGAAGTAGAGCTTAGCTTGTATGTCCATTTCTCGTTTGCGCAGACATGCAAAAATAATGATTGTTTTCGCGGATTTATATGTCTATTAGCATGTATGGACGCCCTATCGAGACAGCGATGCACAGACTTATCACTGCCCGTAGGACCACTACTGAAAGGTTCTCTCGATCCTCTCGACAACCAGGCCTCCTCCCACAGTCCCCAGAATCATCATCGATCCACCCATTGATCGAGGATTGTTGTGTGTGTGTGCCCCCGATCCGCCGACATTCCCGCCAAGAAAGAGTGCTCTATCGAAACTAGTCGCTCCAGCCGTGGAAACACTTCTGTCTGCGCCGGTCTTATAATCCCCGCACAACAACACTGAAGCATGCTGTGCAACGGGATTAGTTATAGTATGCGAGTCAGGAGTCCCTTTTATGTTCCGACCATCAGTGCATGGACGCGGGTGGACTCGGTGAGGCGTGGGACACTACCTGTGCTGCTATCTTCACTAGCACTCTGAGTCGGGCTCCTGGCGGCTGGCATGGGTATTTCGCTCTTAGCCAACAATGTTATTAGTTTGAAAAAAACATTCTCGAATATCTTTGTGTAGAACTTACGTTACGGGATCTAGTCGCCATGTTTTCAGGCAGGGGATAAGTTGTTTTTCGAATGACTAGGACGGTAATATCCCAGCTTGCAAAATCCAAAGCGGCTTGAGTGGAGGTGTAGAAGGTTGAATAGTTTTGAATCAATAGAAGTCTCGACAATGGATAGAACCTATATGGCAACGAGTCGAAGCATTAGGAGTGCATGGGCAGTGTTAGGCTCCCTTAGGCAACCCTGTTGGTGGCACTGACTGGCAAGCCAAGCTCCCACACCAAGTACCACCACTTTACACGTTGCTATCATCGATTGGCGAGTGAACTTGTCGTCCGCCCTATCCCGCAGCATGGGCTATATTGTGAGGGATTTATCGCACTTTGTTAGGTCCGCGATTTGTCGATACTTTCAAAACCGGAGTTCCCAATTTTGCAAGACGTCCATCCTAACCACACTCACGCAGCTCTCACCTCGAGCTCTCACTATAAATTCGTTGCCCTTGCACAATATATCGAGGAAACCGTGCGCTCTCCGCCGGCCGTTACCTTTTCTAAGATTACCAAAATGAGCGAACCAAAGAGGCGAGATATCAAGTGCGAAGCTAATACATCAGCCGCGGAAGTCAATACTCCAATCACGAAAACCGAGACAAACGCAGTTCACGTAACAAATCCCCAAGCGTCGGGCCGGAGTTTTCTGCTAGCAACTGGTAGTATTCAAGGGAACATCCACCATGGGGATTTCTTGCAGAACACGGTAATCAATTGTTCTCACGCCAGCTATATCACACAGAATATACGGGATTATGGGCTAGTATCAAACGCAGAGCCTACGGACAACATCACCCGACCTCCAACCTTCCTTCTTGAGGCGCCTGCAGAGACCCCCCACGTGCAGTCAGGACAGGCTGCTGAACCGCCGTCCGGCCCTTATCTGGAGGAAGCCGAACGCTCTCTTCGTCGTGCTTGTGTAGCTTATGATGCAGGGCAGTGGGGTGAGGCCGTGTTGTTGTTCCAACGAGGCTTCGCATGGCGGCGACAGACGATGCCCGACAGCACAGAGACGGCATGCTACTGGGACAAGTATTCCCGGGCTCTCCACAACAATGGGCAATACGAGGGAGCAATCGGCCGTTTCCAGTTGTTATTGAAGTGGGTGGAGAAGAACGATGGACCCAATAGTGATACAGCGCTGGAACTTCGATTATGTCTGGCTCGAGCGTTCAAACACAGCGGTCAGCTGACCTCAGCGATAGAGGAGTACAGGTATGCCCGGGACAACTGGGACGCTCTCCCGGCCGACCCAGCAAAGTGCTATCGCACCCAGTGTGTTCACGAGCTAGGGCAGCTCCTTGCGTTCCAGCGCAAGCCATACGACCGAAGCTGGCAATACTGGGGCGAGGCCAAGGAGAGCCTGCATCGGGCGATGAAGGACTACTACAGGGTGGATGCAAATTCGCGTAAAGCTCTTGAGGCCCACGTTGACTTTGCGACTGTCGTACTTATGATGTGCGAAGATAAGGACGCAAGGGCGCAGTTTGAGGAATTACGTAAAATCGCAAACCAGAGGGGGCTCGAGAATGACGATAGTATACAGGAGAGGGTCAAGTGGGGCCTCGACGAGAGCAAGTATTGGATGCGGCAACCAGCAGCCAAAAGGGATGGCGACAGATTGCCGAAGGCCAGGAAGCGGGAAGCAGAGAGGCAGCGGCTAAAGGAACTTGTTGGGTCTTGAGAGAATTCTCGGTGAGTAGGTAATGAGTTGTCAGTTGGTTGAGGTGGCGTCCTGTTTGAGGCGTGTGGTTTTCAGTCTTCTGGAAAGTTCCGATCCTATCATTTCATGCTCTTTTGTCCTGTGGTCTGATCATTGCAGAAGATGCTTGCATGCAGCCAACATCAACCTTATCCTGCGCAGCTACTTGCCTTAAGCATACCATGTCGTTGCAGTGATTAGATGACCACCAAACCGCCTGTGATTTCTTTTCTTCGTTGCCACTGTCTTATATAATCGGGCAACTGTCGAGCTCAATCTGGAACTGCATCCTTACCCAGTTATACCTTCGGGCCGGTAGCCCTTCCACCTCCAATATGTCATCCCTTCACACACTCAAGCTCATGGGCCAATGGGCTATTGCACTCACGGTCAGCCGGATTTTGCAAGCCATATTAACCATCGCCGCTCTCGCCGTCGATGGTGCTGTCATCAGTGCCTGGAACGCAGACCAGTATAAGTTCAACTCCTACTTCAGCGAAGGCGCGAAGGCGAACTGGAGCTTGGACACAACGGTAGGCGGTACGCCATTCACGGGCGTTGTTATAGCTGCTGTACGTGATTGCCCCATTTTTTGCGACTCCAAGTGTGAAAAGGAAATAATGGAGGCCAAGTCAAGGCAGTCGTGATTGCTCCATACTGATTTGACTCCCAGTCGTTGCTCACCCTGGCGGCAATAATCTACGATCAAGCTTTCCAAAGAGTTGCAGACATATTTTGGGATCTGTACGGTGTACTCGTTCTCGAGCTTATGGTCGCGATATTTTGGGTGGCATCATTTGCTGGCATGGCGAGCTATGTGGGCGAGATGTCCTTTCCAGTGTCAATCGTGTCAGCATTTGCCGCGGAATTTTCTGCTGGAGGCGACAGTACCAACGGGGTAGCCGGCAACACCGTGGACCTGCTAAACCATTGCGTGGCCATTGCTGTCCTGGGAGCCTTGATCTTGTAAGTCCCGTATCCAGACGCGTACAGCGATCTCAAGTAATAATATAACGTGAGCAGCGGACTTGCGCTGTCTAATATTCTGATCATTATCGCCTATGTCGTGAGGGATGCGCGGGTTGATCGCAGGAAGAGCCGAGAAAGCGGAACTGTCGTGCGGGAGAATCATGATATTTTGCCACCTGGCATTTTCACTACTAATTACCACAGTGCCACCTCTACCCACGAACCCTCAGGCGGCCCTGGACCCGTGGATGTCTAAAAAGACTTTGCCTTATCCGAGCCTCTTTGCCCGAACTATTATGTGTTGGAGGCAGTTGAAGGATCTGCCATGCAATATACGTGCAGTATTCAGAAATGATGCTGCTTGGCCCGAAGCATTTTGCATCCTTATTGCTTTTCACCTCCTAGTACGAACGTTTCCGTGGACCAAACCCGAGAGCACCCGCGTTTCAGCGGTGAAGCCAGAGGTCACGGTCGCCGGTTGCTGATTTTAGCTTCAATACTCTCGTATAATAAAGAACTTTAATGGCTATTTGAAAAGTACACGGCACATTTATAAAGTGGATGTTGTCTCTTGGTGGTCATCTGCATACCCCCAGTCCATCAACGTGATTGAACTGACGTCCGAGTGACAGGGGTAAGTACTCACGTGCTGCCAAGCCTGGACTGTGCCACCGTGCGACTCCACCACACGCATGCACGCTTAGTCAGCCCTAACTCTCCCTAGCCAAGGTCGCCACATAAGGACCTGGCCTAATAAAGGTTTAAATTCTGGGCAACGACTATACCCTCTCCTTTACTAAGTCATAGTAAAAAAGTCCCATTAATTAATAAAATAAGAAGGGCTATTAAATAGCCAAAAGAATAAGAGTAATTAATTAGCCAAATTAATTAAAATAGTTAAATAGCCAAAAGTACTTTGCTAAGTTATAGTAAATAAGAGCTAAGAGTAATTAATTAATTAAAAAGTAAAAGTAATTAAATAATATAATATAGTAAATTATACTTTATAAAAATCGCGTTATTTTAGTAGTTTTAAGGTTTTAGTTATATAATAAAGGCTAGGGCCTTAAATATATAACTTAAGGAAATTATATAAAAAACTAGTTTGTTTTTATAATTCTAAATAACAAATTATTTTTTATATTAATTAATTGAAGCTTTTTATAATTATATATTATTTATACTTTATTATATATATTTTTATTTCTATTATTAAATTATTAAATTATACTTTATACTTTAATATATTTTATATAAGTTTTTTATTATAATTTCGTTTATATATATTTTATAATAAGTAATATAAGGAAAATCGAACTCGTAATTAAAAAAATACTTTTATAAAGTTTTGAGGGTTTTTTATAAAGCAAATTATAAGCTTAGTAAGTTTGGGAAAAAAAAGTTATTATAATATTTTAACCTTAAAATTAAAATATTAAGAATATATAAGTATTAATTTTTATAGCTTATATTAATTTCTGATATATCTACTAATTCAAATATAAATTATTTATAAAATATAGCTATTAATATAAAAAAAAAGTATTATATATTAGTTTTATATAATAGCTTATATAACTATATTTATTTAATTTACTAAATATTTAAGCCTTTAGCTTTCTATTATCTAATTATATTATAATATACTCGCATTTATTATAATAAAAAGAAATAAAGGAAATAAAATAAAAGAAATAATATTAAAATAATATAAGTTAAACCTTAATTAAAAATAGACTTTAATTTATAAAAATAAAAATATATTATTTTTAATTTCAAGTAATATAATAAATAGAAATCGGAAAGAATTAAAATAAAATTAGAAATTATATAAATAATTTAGAAAAGCATTTAAAGAAAAGAAATATTATTAAATAAATAAATAAATTTTTTTAGAGAATTTAGAGAAATTAGTATAATAATAATAATAATAATAATAATAATAATAATAATAATAATAATAATAATAATAATAATAATAATAATAATAATAATAGTAATAATAATAATAATAGTAATAATAATACTAAAATTTGAATTCAAATTATATTTATTAGTATTAATTAGCTTTTTTTAAATCCCGATTTCCTTATTAAAAAAATACATTTAAATAAGAAACTTGTTTTTTTTTAGAAACCTTATTAGTAAAAACCTCGAATATAGAAACTTTATAATTAGTTATAAAGGAAATTATTAAAATTAATATAACTAAAAATAAATATATACTAATACTAGATTTGAATTTATTATTTATAAAAGCTTTTAAAATATTATAATTTTAAGAAAGTAATATATAAATATATATAAGAACTATTATATTTCTAATAATACTAAAAGAAAAAGAATTATTTATTATATTTCTTTTATTTATAAGAATTAGATTAAATCTATACTAAAATATTATATTAATAACTTAGAAAATTATTAAAAAACCAAGTTTTTTAAAGTCTTACTAATAAAATTCCGAAAATATAACCAAAGAAATACTTAAAATTAGCTATAACTTTTTTAATTAAATTATTATATAAGCCTAGAATAAAAAAGCTTCTTTTAAGTCTTATATTAATATAATTAATAAAGTATTAAAGAAGTTATTAAAGAATAAATAAATAAATAAAATTATTTAATACTAAAAATTTATAAGAGAATTATTTATTTTAATAAAAGGTTATATTTTTAAAAATATAAATTCTAAACTTATAAATATATTTATTAATAAATATAATATTTTACTAATATAAAAAAAGCCTTGTTTTAATATTACTAATAATTTATAATATAATTCTTAAATTAGGAAATAATTAATTTTTATTAATTTCTTTTATTATATTTTCTAAAATTATTATAAATATAAAAAAAAAGAACTTAACTTAGAATTAATTATATAAAACCTTTTAAAAGTAATAAACTTAAAGAAAATAATATTAATTAGTTAATAAAAGGCTTAAAGAAACTATTTATTAATATAATAACTTAAAAGAACTCATAAAAAGAACTTAGTATAATTATTATTTTAATTCAGAAAAATATTTATAGCTTATTTATATAAGCTAGCTAATTATAATAAAAATAATAGTATTAATAGCTTAGTAAATATAATTCGAGTTTTCGAGATAATTATATTAAAGATTATAATAAAAGATATAAAGAATATTATAAGAGCTATAATAAAGAAGCCAAATAATTATATTTTAAAAAAGAATAGTTTTAGTAAATATAATTAGAAAATATTACTTAAGTTAATATTACTTATATAAATTCGGAATTAAGAAAGCAAATTTATTATAAGTATTATAATAAAAATAAAAATATTAATATTAATTTAAAACATATTTATATTTTTTAGTTTTATTACTTATTAATAAAATGGCTTATAAATTACAAATATATTTATTAATTTAATAAAAGATAATATAAAGACTTATATAAATTTAGTTTAAAAAGGTTTTTATTTTAAATATTAATAAATATTAATAGTTTAATTTAATTATAACTTGAATATTTAATTTAAAAATATTTAAAAAGTAATAAGAAATATCTAGTTTATTAAGTAAAAAAGAAATAATATAATTAGCTAGCCGGAATTTATATATAAAAGCAAGTAAATTATATTTAGAAAATCTAAGTAATTGCTTTATTTTAAAGAAAATTATATTAGAATTACTAATACTTTAGGTTTTAAAATTAATAAATAATATTTCTATTAATACTATAATAAATTCCTTATTTAAAAGAAAATAAGAGAAATGAAAATAGTTAAAAAAAGTTTTCCGGAAATAAACTAAAGTTAAAAAAAAAAGTTATCTTATATAAGAAGTTAGAGAAATATTATTTTAAATAATTACTATTTTATAAAAATATAGTAATATTTATAGCTTCTTTTATAAATATATTATTCTTTATAGAAACTAAATAAAGCTAATTTATTTCTTCTTTTCCCGAATTATAATTAGTATAAAAAAAACTATTTAAGTTATTTAAGCTATTCTAAAGTAGTTTTAAATAAAGTAAAATAGAATTTAAATAGTATAATATAATACTTGAATAAAGTAAAATAAAGTATTACTTTAGAGTTATTTAAAAGTAATTATATATAAGTTATATAAATCTAATAAATTAATATTTATTTAATTATTAATAAATAAATAAAATATATATTAAATAGTATTATATAAGCTAAGTTAGAACTTATATAAGGTTATTTAAATATTACTTTTCTTTTATAAAAAACTAATATTTTATATTAGAATTTCTTTTTTTTTTCTTGCTTTTTTTCTTTTTCTAATTTGTTTTTAAATAATTCCTGGCTTTTTAATTAAAATATTATTTTAAAAGTACTTTTATTAGATCTATTATATAGTTTAGGTATAATAAGGGCACTTTAAAAAAGAAATCTCTTTCTAGTAATTAAGAAAGCCCAGAGATATTATTAAGTTTTACTTTATTTATTAAATCTTATTATTACTTAATTAGATAATATATTAGAGCTAGACCTAGGCTACTCTAAAGCCTTATTAAATTAGGCTAGTTTATTACATGAAATATTATATATATATTACTTAATTATTCTAAAATAATCTAATATAATTAAGTAAAGTATTAAGTAAATATTAGTTTACCAGGAATACATAGTACCGTTATATAGTTATAGAATACTAATTTATATAAGGTTAGTAAAGTTATTCTTTAGAAGTAGGGATTATAGTATTATGGTATTAATATGCGATCCCTAAATCTGCTAAGCCTAAAGGGGTCTAGTCT